AAAAAAAAATTGATCGCTGTACTGCAGGAGACCCTAGCAAACAAGACCACTGCAATCTGATGCATTTTAACATGTCTAAAGGAACCTTACTTATGTTCACACAAAGAAATAAACAATTTAGTGGTAGTCTTACAAAATTTATGTAAAACAGTTCAGGGGCCTTTAAAGCTTTAAGGCTTGGGAAAATTCCATCCCATAGATTTTATTTTCCAGGGAACTTTAAAGTAGCAATCTCCGTTACACACTGCATTGCAGTTAAATGGCAGTGATAAAGACTACCCATGCAAGAGCTAAGCAATAGCTCATTAACGCTAATACTTAAGAGTTCACTGCTTCATTGCAGAAATCCCAAAAAACCTGAGTTTTGCAGCTATGCCACTGAAGTCTGAAGAAAATATTACTTCCGTGAACATTTTCGCTCATTTACACAGCTCATTAAGGGTTGGGGGGGATTTTTTTGTCTTCAGGTTTTGAGGGTTTTTCTGGTCAAAAGGCACGATCCATAGGCTATTTCAAGATTCTTGACCAGAAACTTCCCTGCTATACTTGCACAGAATACTCAAAGGAAAAGGTGACTCAAAGTAATACAAAAAAAAAAAAAAAGAAAGAAAGAAAGAAAAAGAAAGAAACACTCAACCATTTTCAAAATTTGGTAGTATACTCTTGGGATTGTAAAAAAGCACATTTCTTTCTTTCTGAACTAAGCCAGTTACTCTGATTAAGCAATTCTAACTACACAGAAAATACCTTCCTTAATACAGAAATCTCTACTTCAAGTATTACTTCTATCATCAGATCTTTCAAAAATTTCTTCCACAACTAGCGAGTCTAAGGCAGCATACCACCCTAAGACACAGCTGCTAAATATCTCTTGCATCAAAGCACATTCAAACCATTATTAAGTTATACAGCTGGTAGTTACATACAGGTTGTATTTTCCTCCCTGGACGAGCGCCTTCCATGCTGATGTGCAGAAACGGAGAATGCCCTTGTACGAGACCCTGTAATGAACCTCCCAGGAGATCAGAGACTGCGCATACATGACTGCTTTAGCTCGCTCTGCTTGACACAGATGTACTCCGGGAAACTGCTCCCCAGCCCCGCAGCCAATCGCTCTCCTCTCATCTCCCAGGCCGCCGATTACAGCTACCGCAGGGTCGCACAAGAGCAAAATGGGCAAGACGGCATGCCTTCAATTCCAGCTCAGAGAATACCAAAAAAGGAACTGAAACGGAGTTCGAGACTTAACATTTTCTGCATCAGCAGCAGCTAAGAACAGCTCCAAGGTTATATATTTTCACTCTGATCCAAGACTTCATTAGCACGACAAAATGAAAGCACATTTGTACCTCGGGTCCCAGAACAGAACAACCCAAAAGTCAAACATCTGCTAAATGTGTTTATAGCTGTATTATAGACCTTTCACTGAATACTCATTCCAAAACAGGGTTGGTTTTTGTTTTTGGTGTTTTTTTTTTTTTTTACATAAGTCATATATTCTTGTTCACCAAAATAAACCAGGGCTTACTAAAAAAAAACTCGTTGTTGGGTTTTTTTCCCCTGTTGAAGAGGTAAAAAAGCCATGCTGCTCGCTGCAATTAATTTCATGTGTCCTTCCAGAGTAAGACAACCCTCTGTTTCAGGTATGATATGAGTAGCTATGCTTTTTCGTTGCTTAAGTCATCCATACAAAAACGCAACCTCCACTCTAGCAGATCAAATCCATAGCTTCATTTCACTCTTCCCCTCTTCGTTGCTGACACACCTTAATTTCCTTGTCCCGTCACATAATGTGTAGGAAAACTGCCTCTTTAAGGAATTATCCATAACTTAACCTTCATGACATGACATTGCCTTCCTTGTTCTTTTTTTCTTCTTTCGTTCCTACTTCTTGGATGACAAGAACTCCAGTAATGAAGCTGGACTGGTGCCACCCCAACCAACCAACACACGAACAACTTGGACTAAACAAAACAAATAACACACTGTTCATAAGCTTGGGGCAAATACTACCAGCCAAAGACACACACTGTGTAACTGTGAAGATGGCAATTATCACCTAGCAGTTCAGAAATGACAAGACCGCATTCAGTTCCCCTCACTGCCTTTCTCAGTCCAGAAAATTCTCTAACCATAGACTAATAAAAGTATTCTCAGATAGTGCTGACAAGAGAGTTTAAAAGTAGTTTGTTTCCACTCTGTAAATAGATGTTCACTCTAACATGTGTGTGAATCTTTTCACTTCCAAGCTATTGGAGGCCTCTCTGTTACTCTATGTAAACGACTATAAACTGAATGATTCATACAGGAACAGTGTTAAACAAAAATATCAGATACCCTAAACTCTTAGTGATCTCAACTGAGCATCCTAAACCAAACCTATTCTTTTCCTAATGCAGAGAACAGATTCATACAGTTCTTCAGCTACTCAGATGAATACTGAAACAGCTATGCTGAATTGTGTTCTGGTGGCTCTCCCACACTTTAATACAGTCTTCCTTAGCATAAAACCATACTAGAAGTACTTCAGTTTCTAAAAGTACAAAAGTTGGTTTGTTTAGGATATGTGTGTGTGCATGAAGGGGAAAGAGGCTGTCTATTCCTTTGGGATAAACTAAGGGGGCTCGCCTGAGCCAGAAAGAAGGAATCTATGCGTTTGATTTTTCCAAGTTTTGGAAAGAATACTTACTTGGTTTTGAAACTTTAAAAAAATAAAAACCTCTCTGAAGCAGTTTACTGAAATCTCTTTCTTGTCTGTAGTTAACGAATTCCTATTTACTAGGCATTCAATCTTGAAACAACAACAACAAAAAAACACTCAGTAGCCTTATTCCTTTAAAAAAAAAATAGCAAAGGACACACGCATGTAGAGCGAAGCTGAAAAATCCAACATTCTAAAAAATAAACAATTTTTTTTTTCTCCCAAACAGATGGAAGTTTTTATCTTTTAAGTCCCATACCAAAATACTTTGTGGATAAATGTCTGCTCTTACCTAAGAATAAATACCAGGGATTCGCATGAGATGGAGAACATGACAGCAACTTCAAACTGCAACTGCCTCAACATACTTAACTACAAAAGTATTCTAAACCAAACTGTAGGCAAATATATTCAAAATTATCACATCCTTGAACATGTTCAGTGACAACACTGTGAGAACTCAGAGCAAAACTATTTGTGCTGCAGCAATATTTCAACCGTATGCTTGATGTTGCAAAAGAATCTTTATGAAGTGTATGAGGGCTTTACTTTTTTTTAAAAACAAAAAGAAACTTAAGTAGCCATCATGAAATATACACTTTCTCCATTAATCTTTCCTTCTTAATTTTTACTTTTATGCCCCTTCAAGTTCCACTTAATTTGAGCTTATTTCCAGCTATAAAAGCACTCTTTTGGAAAGACAAAAGAGTCCAAAAAATATTTATCTATTCTCCAGACAGAAAAGAAAGATTTCATCTAAGCTCTTAGGTCTTTGCAAAACTTTTAATCTTTTCACAAGTGATACACAGTCCATGATTTCCTTGTAAGCAGTACAGGCTTCCATTAAAAATTCCCTCAAAATTAACTAAATTGGACTAATTCCAAAACCTCTGTTAAGCATGGGATGGAATGCAGAAACATTTACAATGGATTAGAAGAGTAATTTTCATGTCACTTGTTATGACTAGTTTCTGGATCAATCTGTGAAAATATCCCCGATCACATCTTAGAGCAACACCAGAATTAACACACCAGCAAGCTGCATATATTACTACAACCACAGGCTCTTCTTTCCTATCCTCCAGGTTTTGCTCTTAAAAAGAGCACGCAATTATGATCCCAGTTTATCATGAAACGGCAGTAAACTGCCTTATTGCGGGGTCTGAAGAGTCTCCAGCAGGCAGAGCTGTGCCTAATCTGCCGTTCCATGACAGCAGGACAGAAGCATGTTTTTATTTAACGTAGCTGCGGTGGGCAGGATTGTGTTCTCAGCAGGATTTGCCCTCTCGTGAGCTCAAACCCAGTGCTATCAGACCCAGCCAGGTAGGAGCACAAGGAAAAGAGCCCATACTGACGTACCCACACAGCTAGCCCTGAAAATTGGTAGATCTGGTATGAGGTTTCTGTTGGTACTTTAAAATCCCGTTTTGGGAGTGGGGTATGTTTATAATCCAAACTCAACCCTGCCTTATACGAACAAATTATACAAAAAGAAAATTACAATCTTTTCTAACATTGCAGCCCAAAAACAAACCAACCCAGTTCACTGTCACCTTTCTTCATGTATCTGAAAGGATAGAATCAATCAAACTCAGCACCTCTCTTTAGAAAAGAATATAAAAAACAATAAATACTTATCAATGAGAGAATAAGAAAATACTTCTAAATGAGGCTTTTTTTTGGAGGGGGGGGAGGGTGGCCCAGGTCACAGAGAGGGAGGCAAGGTGCTAGGGGATTAAGATGATGCAGGAGCAAGTTGCATGACACAAACCGTCTGATTGTCAGTATGTCAAATACCACTACAGATGGTTTTCTTCAGCTCCTTCTTAAATGGGAACCTACTAACTCCTATTAAGAAGAGCTTCCTACAAATTTTCTATTGAACACAAATTAAATGTAATCTATTCCTCTAAAGAGACATTATTCCCTTAGCAAGGGAACACAGAAACTTTCATAGGCACATAGGCAGTGGCTTATCATTTAGTGAATTAAAACTCTCCATAAAAAACAAGAGTTTGACTGCTTACAAGTATTTTTCAGAATACAATTTCCACATAACAGCTAGTTCCCAAGAGGTACATCCGCATAGCACGCTTCAGCTTGCTTCAGTTTGTATCGGCACGTACACATGGAACCGCGTGTTTCCAAAAAAAAAAAAGGGGGGGGGGGGGGGGGGAGGGCGAGATAGATGTATTCTGTGAAGATACTCTCTGGTGTATTGCCCCAGTAGTGGACTCTTGGGTTTCTCAGTGCATTGCAGGACAGCTGTCACAAGCCACCAGGATGCTGAGAGCGATCATGAGACAGGCCGCTAGTCTGAGCCCTCCTGACATTACAGAATTACACATCATTCCGAGAATTGCGTACTTATTCTCTAGAGAGGATACCACCGAAATTTGTAATCTGAATCAGCATCAACAGTGAGATCACTATGTACTCTATTGTATGGACTCCTTCATTAATCACCCTGCAGTCCTTATTTGAATACACTGATAAAGGAGAAAAAACAAAAGATGTATGTAAAATTTTAGAGTACTTTACTTATTCCTGGACTCAAAAACATCCCTCAGTAGAGCTATATGGAAGAAATTCACCATGTTCAAACAGAACACTACCAAGAATTTCACTTCATGTATGAGCATGTGGTCACCGTGTAAATGGCATTGAGCTAGGCTAGGGGGGAGCTGCATGATTTGATTTGTTGGGGTTTTGTTTGGTGGTTGGTTGTTGGGGTTTTTTTGGTGTTTTTTTTTGGCAAAAGAATAAGGATGCTTTCTAAATTCAAAGCCGCTCACTTTACAACTACAACATATCCGTCATCTCTTGCTTTTACATAAATTCATCTCCAGGCATTTTGGCAGCATTTTTGAGATATATTCTAATTTTTCTTTATCCTAAAGAAGTCTTGGATCACCGTGCAAGTTCACAAGAACTATAAACCAGGGCTGCTTCAACACTATTAAGGCCACATGTTTAAATGCTCTACAATCACTTATACAAATATTAAACATTCATGTCCCAGAATAATAGATGGTACAGAAGTGAACAGCTAATGAGTCCAGATATGAAGCAGCATAATATGGGGCAGATAATTTTATCTGTTTGGTACTGACATTATTTGAAGTACAGGCACACAAAAGCCTTCCCCTGACAGCAGATCCTCAGGAGGAAAAAAGAAAAAGAGGGGGGGGAAAAAAAAAAAAAAAAAGGAAAAACGGGAAAAAAGAAAGAAAGAAAGAAAAAAAAAGAAGAGTCAAACTA